TTGGATTACAAGACCATTCTGTACAAGTTTGTCAGAATAAGTCATCTTGCCTTTGTTCTGTTCTGGACTTGGTAGACGGCATCTCGAAGGGCCTTGGTTTCGGGCTCGCTGAAGGGGACTGGCCCTTGGAACATGTTGGAGCAAGGGTTGATGCTGGAGCCGATCTCTGCGGGGAAAAAAAAAGTCATTACAGCCCTTGTACACGTGTGGGTCTTCGGGGAAAACGTCCCTAACTGTGGTATAATAGTCCTTATGTCTACAGACCCCGCGGCCGACTGTGGGAAACCTAGATCCTCACTCACCTCCCCAATAGAAGCCGAAGTTCTTGTTCAGATCGACGCCGGAGCAGTCGGAGTCGGATGTCGAGGCGCGGTTCTTCTTCCAGAGACGATCCTGGGAAGAATTTGCTCTATAGAATATTTACCGTAAAGTGAACGTGGATGCAGAAAAAGTGATTGCATTTCATTAATAATGCTGCATATATATATATATATATATATATATATAATATATATATAATATATATATATATATATATATATATAATATATATAATATATATATATATATATATAATATATATATATATATATATATATATATATATGTATATATATATATATATATATATATATATATATATATATATATATATATATATATATATATATATATATATATATATATATAATATATATATATATATATATATATATATATATATATATATATATATATATATATATATATATATATATATATATATAATATAATATATATATTTATATAATATATATATATATACATATATATATACATGTATATATATATATAATATATATATATATATATATATATATATATATATATAATATATATGAACATACACGTGTGTGTGTGCAACTTTGTGGAGTTGGTTCATTGGTCTCTTACATGTCGCCAGGAGTAGACGTAGCCGTCGGGGTTGAGCAGCGGGACGAGGCGCCACTCGGCCTCCTGCGACAGGGACGGGCTGTCCTGCAGCAGGCGGTTCACCAGGTACAGCGCCGAGGCCGGAGACACCCACTCCCTCGCGTAGATCCCTGAGGAAGGGGTTGTGTATCTCAGGAATTTGGGAAAATGTGATCAGGTGTGCGTGACGAGGTCCCTTCTCCAGGAACTCCCTTCAGTTTCGGCGAGTGGGGACCGCCCCTCCGAGCATGAGCCCTCCCTGTTGATCTCGGACCTTCGTGCGGGACCCTAACGCATGCGCCAGGTGTTCGGCCCTCAGCACGGCGGCCGTTTTAAGAAGTGAAGACAATCAATCTTGCTGATGAGTTTCAATACCGATACGCAATAGTAATTCCTTTCATGGGATATGTTAAGCCGCTTTTAGACGTGAAGACAATTCTTGTTAATGAGTTTAGTAGCAGCAATAGCAATTACTATTATGGGATATGCTATGGATTCGAAACTCTGCCATTTAGTCACGCAGTTTCACAAAAGGGATACGGTACTAGAGTCATCTCGGACCCCTTCAAATTCCCCATCATTTCGGACTTTACTTCTGCCTGAGAAGTCCGTTCCCACCTGGACTCGACTGAAGCTGCGCCTCGCTCTATTCCACCTTGATCATCAAACACCCAACGATTCAGCTCATTTGCATAGCAACACTTCGACATACAGACACCAGAAAAACCAACTGTCCCAAGCGAATTGTAGAACATACCTGCTTCAATGAATATGACTGGCTTGTCCGTGCTTGCCGAATCGTTTCTGTTGATTATGACTTGGTATATCGGCCTGTCCTCGACGCTGCGCCCGATCTCCTCCACCTGGACGTCTCCTCGGGTACTGGCGGGGAGCTCCTCGTGGTAGGGACACGATCTGTGGCGGGAGGGCCTTGGATTGCTGGGCGGTCTGACTCTCTCTCTCCTCTCTCTCTCAGTCTCCTCTGTCTCTAATCTTACTCAGTCCCCTCCCACGTCCCACTCTCTCTCTCTCTCCTCACTCCCTCTCACTCCTGTCAGTCTTATCTCTCCTCGTCTCTCTCTCTCGTGTTCTGCTCATCTTCTCATCTCGAGTCATCATCGGTGAGTTCTCGTCTTCTCTTCCTATTCGGATCTGCTCTCCTTCCTCTCTCCTGTTTGCTATCTATATATAATAGTATATGGACGTATATATACCGTATATAAGGTATTATACGTCTGATTACATATATCGGTCCACGTTTATAGTACTACTACCACACTACACACACACACACACTGCACACACACACACCAACACAGCACAAACACACAGCACACATCCACACACGACACATATGATATGACAATATCTATTTCTCATCTATAATATATACTATTACCAGTATTACTCTTAGTATATAGTAGCTACCTATATAGTAATATATATAAAATTCAGGTCGCTATCTGTGTAGTCAATATCATGCAACGCACCCTGGCTCATGAGTCTTACGCTCACTCGTAAGGACATGTATACGCTCGAACGGTAGCATCGCCGCTTACTGAAGGCTCCTTGTCTTGGGTCGTAGTATTAAGAGGTGGAGAAACGCATTTGGAAAAGAAGGCGCAGAATAGGACAGAGATGTAAGTGTTAGAGAAGTACGATTTTCATTATAAACACTATAGATAGGTATCTGTTGTGGATATTCATCGACAGATAAGATTATGGATATTGTAGACAATCCACCTCTCGCACGGAACGTATAGTATAACCGGAACAACATGATCTGTCCTGTCTGTCTGGTCGTCTCTCTTCTTTCTCCTTCTCTCTCTCGGTCTCTCTCTCTACTCTCTCCTCGTCTCTCTCTCGCGTCGTTTCTCTCTCTCACTCTCTTCTCTACCTCTCTCTCTCTCTCTCTCTCTCTCTCTCCGAAAGTGACTTACGTGAGGTGTTAAGAAAAAACAACGAATACATCAATACATGTGTATTCTAAGTTGCAGGAATGTCTTTACTCTCCTCACTCTCTTTTCATCGTCTCTCTCCAGTCTGCCTATCATCTTCCTCTCTTCCAGGCTAGCTCGTGTCTGATACTCATTCGGCTATCCCCTCCGTCATCCCCCCTCCGTCAAGTCACTCACTCTTGCTTCTTCCCTCTCTCTCTCCTCCTTCTACACTTCTATCTCTCTTACTCGCTATTCTCTCTCTCTTTCTCGCCGACCTCTCTCACTCTGTAATGTCACTATCTCACATCAAAATCTTTTTCTCTCACAATTCTCCATCACCTTCCGTCTCTCTCCTATAGTCCTCTTTGTCGGTTCTCTGAAATTCGTGTCTCTAGCCTCTTCGTCCTCAGTTCTTCTTCCTCCTCTCTCGCGGCGTTCCCTTGTCTCACGTCTTTCACGTCCATCAGTCTCTATTCTCCTCTCGCTTTGGATGCTGGGTGAAATAGAGGAGGCAGTGGATGTCGTATCCAGTCTATATCCCGCATCAAGAGGCCGTTCGCGGCCGGCGTCGTCGTGTTGTCTCGGTGTCTCGATCAATCAATTCGGGGTTCCCGTCTCTCGTCCGATTCGAAGGATCGCTCCTCTTCGATTCTCTCTTCTCTCCCTGTCGCCATTGCCTCGTCTATCTGGCTCTCTACTCTTCCTCCGGCGATCTCTCTCTCTCTCTCTCTTCCTTCTCATCGTCCTCAGCGTCCTGCTGTGTCTCTCGGCTATCTCTCTCCTCTCTCTCTCTCGACGCAGCCTATAACGGAATAGGTGGAGGTCTTTGTAGAGCGACATTTCGGGCGAATGATGTGGACCTCAAAAACACTGTTTATACAATTCATGTAACACCCAGGCCTGAGTTTCCTCCTCGCGCTTGGTGCGTCGACGGAGATTTGGCATTTCTCTGCGGGCAAAGAATGACCACGAAATATGCCCTGGAATAACGAAACCAAAGCAGAGAAAGGTAGACAAAGATGGAGCAGGCTATGTAAGCCGGGAATTGAGTCTGCAGAGACCCTTGTGTTATGCAAATTTCAGTTGAAAGAAAGCAGATGTCTTCCAAAGGGGGAATATAGGTAAGCTAGCGACACATCGGGACAATTACTGTTGGGTGTGTCAAGGTCCTGAAAGTTCGAGGGTATAAGTAAAGCCCTTAACACAAGAGGCTAAAGTCAAAGGAGGCACCAGGGAATTAAAAGGCTTCAGTTTGAAATTATAGTTTTGCACGTGGTAAGAAAATGCAAGAAAATTTTTTATAACACGTATAACTAATAGTCGGGAGCGACAAGGAGCATCCGCGGGTGATAATGAGTGGCGCGGGGAATAGGGCAGTGAAATCAAGAGATTCCTAGGGACAGTTGCCAGAGTCGCGGATTAAGCTAGACGTGAGGGAATTGGGCAGGCTGATGGCTAGCGACTGGCGAACATCATGCACTATCAACGGGGAAGAAAAATCGCTGAAAAACCATCGCCGTTTAGGTGTGGCGTCCTTACAAATCCCTGACCTCGTCGCGTGCCATGTCCTGAGGGAAGGGAAATTGATACTAAGGCTATGAAAATTAATGATTGGATGACACAGTGACCCACTGTCGCTTATGAAGAGGAGAAAAGGAAATATCAAAATTGTGGAGGGATTGGCACCATTTATGCGTTCTCTCTTCAGATCACTAACCGTTTTGCACCAACTGTTCCCGACGGGGCATAGGGGCGCGCCGCCCGCCGCCCGCGAGCAGCCGCGTTGCCGGTACTCCGCGTGGAACAGGGAGTTCGCTATAGCAGACCTTGGAAGTCTTCAGCGACAACCTGGCCCACATTGACTTTAAGTGTACCAAAATAGTAACAATTACCAGGTGAATGAAACACTCAACAGTCTGCTTCAGTTGCCATTCAAATGCGCTGGCCTCCGACTTGGTGTGTCCTGGTGCATCCTCTTTAAGTCTTCTCATTTGCAATCTACCATCTAATTAGGGGTGAAGGTGGGGATTTTAGGTGCATGCTCTTGCTATCACGAACCACACATCGGACGTGCGCCGAGTGTGATTTTGCCCGAATGGCCTTTTAAAATCGAAGCAAACAAGGTGAAGTTCCTCGTCCAAGGGAGACGAGGTGCCATCCGGACCGGAAAACTCGAAAGTTGGTTATAATTATCAAACAAAATTCAAGTCCGATGCGCTCTAACCACTCGCTCGTGCTAATGTTTTCCCAGTCAGTGAAATTCCTAACTCATTTTTTTTTTTTTGGTATGAATTACTAGTACGTCGTGTATCAAGTTTGTAATTTTACAAGTTAAACAGAGGAAGTGAGCACGACGAACAGGTGAAGTCCTTCAGGCAGCCCATATTTAATAGCCTTGAGCAATTGGCAGCGACCTTGCATAAAGTGTAAGTTTCAGACCAGCACGGGTCGCGTACTTGAGTGTCGTTTTCCCCATGGTTTGTTGGGCAGGTGGATGTGAAAACTGCAAAAATTATTCTGCTCTACTCTCGTCTCTCCTCACTCTCTCCCTTTCGCCTTCTCTTAGTCATCCGATCTCTCTATGCCGCATGCACTTCGTCGTGTTGTCTCCCTCTCGCATCTCACTGGCTCTCTCTCACTCGCTCGATGTGAATTTCCCTCCTGCTGCTCTCCTTCTCCGCGTCTGAATCCTGCATTCTCACTCTCCCTCGGCTCGTATCTCCTCTGCTCTCTCCGCCGCTCCTAGGAAGATCTTCATCGCTTCTCTCTCTCTCCTCTATCCCTCTACAAGCATATATGCGTGGTATGTACATCCATGAACCTACCTAAACCGCAAACACATACATACACGTGCGTGCGCTTACGTATACCCACACACAAGAATTATGTCCACATACTGAGATATATCATTAAGTGTGTTTCTGGAAGCCTACGCCGGCATTCGTCAGCTTTATCCATGAAACTTAGTCAGCTTATCTTCAGCCACAGCTAATACAGTTGTACCTGAAGCAAGCAAGAAAGCACCAGTATTAGGAGAAAGGTTATTAAATGGAGATAACGTTATATGATAATACACGCAGAAGAAAAATCATAAAAGCCATTTTTTACGAATAAAGCATAGGCATCACTTCAAAGACCTTACCTGTCCCGGTGTTAAAGCTGAGCAGGTCGATGTGGCTCGGGAATCCGTAGTTTCCAGGTTAAAGAACGGGGCTATGGACTGGACGTCAAAAATATCCCATCTGGAAATCGCATTTCGAATTCATGTACTTGTTTTTTGTTTTTTGTGTGTGTGTGTTTTTCTCTCGCAGCATAGAGAGAAGAAAAATATAGATCTTTTACATAATAAAATCTAATTTCATTTATATATAGGTCAGTGTTATAAAAGGATGTATATCTTAGTGTAAACTATATTCTTGATTGCATTTTTATGAGAAATCTACTTAAAACCTATACCGTCGTCTTCAAACGATAAGATTTGATAATGTTCCAAAAAGAAGGAAAAATTGAATGAAAAAATGCCGAAGTTGGTTTTCAACATTCTCCCAAAAGGCAACTAAAAGGTATCACACAGCATGTCCTCTAAGCCGAAAACAATCAACTTTTAAATAGTCCTGCCAAGGAATGCCGTCTCATTCTCATTTTCTTCAAGATGCCCTTTCGTTAATCTTACCCCAAATAATTGACTGGTGAAGTGTGGCTGGGGTGGAGGGCCGCACTGTGGCTGGTGGAGGCCGCACTGTGACTGGTGGAGACTGTGTTATGGCTGCTGGAGGAACTGGCTGCCTCGTTTCTAGTGTTTTCGCGGGACAGGACGCCCGGCACGAGAACCAGCACGGCTATTCCTTGCCACAGCCTCATATTTCCTCTGTAGAAAATATAGCGGGAAATAAAGATTAATGTGTGTGTTTATATATATAATGTATATGTGTGTGTGTGTGTGGTGTGTGTGTGTGTGTGGTGGTTGTGTGTGTTGTGTGTGTGTGTGTGTGTGTGGTGTGTGTGTGTGCGTGTTTGCGCTGAGTGCGTGTGCGGTGTGCGTGTGCGTGTGTGTGCGTGTGTGTGTGTGTTTGTTTGGCAAGGAATAGCACAGCTAATCCTTGCCACAGCCTCTACATAGAAGGAAGTCGTACAAAGACCCTGAAGCGCAGTTCATTTCTCCCTTTCTCGAGCTCATTCAGATCCGCGCTCAAGACCGACATTGACGGGGAAGAAGTCCGAACGAGGAAATTCCGAACAGCGAAGTGAGATGTGTATTCGGGCTGTTTTGTAAACCGTAGTAGGCAGCTAACATAAAGGAAAGAGAACGAGAAGTGGAGACAGGAGGAAAGAGGGGGAAAGACAGACAGATTTTCTTTTTTTGTTTGACCATCGAATTCTTTACAGATTCCGAAGGACAATGACTCCAGCAATGTCTCTCTCTCTATTCACTCAGCTGATTAAATCGTCCTCCACATGTCATCTTATTTACCTTATATCTTATCTTATACTTTCATTATGCATTAGAAACATCTACTGAAAGTCTTTTCCAAGGGTGAACCCGTTCCTGATCTTCCTCACGACGCCTGATTAAAAGCAGCTGGTCTTGTTCGTGCTCGGAAAACGCCAG